TGTTGTTAGTGTACCGTTTTATCTTTCAAAGCGCACACCTTATTTGATTCCCCAATTAAAGTGGTTGGATAGAGTGAAAGATTAAAATTTGTCTACTGCTCGTGCAATAGGATGTTCTTTTTTACTTTAAGGTATGTGTTTCGTAGCACATGACACCCTTCGCGAACAGGGTAACTTCCTGAGTGTGCTGATACCACCACGGCCAGATTTTGAAGTTTTCGTATGCTTTTTGCATTTGTTTTCACTTTTGCACTAACATACCTCTTCATATTGGAGTGTATTCTCAGAATTTTGCTGGCTTCTCTGAAGAGAGGGATGAAATTGTTATGGAACTTGATATCGAGGACTTTGAGAGAAACGTAATCGGGGGCCACTCTTATCTTAAAATGAAACTGAGACAAAAAGCAAACCAAGTTCGTTTGTTGTTCATCTATTCGTGTCTAGTAAAAATTGTATTATCAGCTTACTAGAAGCCATTTTTACAAGTGGAGCTGCGAGACAGAGGAACAAGACATGAGCTTCCTGTTAGATTGATCAAAACAGCTCAATGGTCGATGTTTCGACGGCCAGATGTTCCTAGAGGAGTGGTGAGCTTAGCTGAGATTCTATACATCAATAAAAAGGCAGTTGCAGTTGGGCGTTTATTTTCCCCCTATCAGATCTGTGATGAGAGTGCTTCAGTCTTTAAAACATGTGGGAAACAAAAATATTGTAAGTTTTTTTTTCATCTGCGCAGAAAACTTGCTTAACTCATATCACTTCCAACTGAAAACCTTGCAGACCTTAAAGGTCAACAATAATGGTGAGATGCATCTAAGATGCCGAATGGATCAGGCTGAAGTCACTGTCTATTTTAGCGATCTGGCCAATGACACAATCACCGGTCGGTCTCTGTCAAACTTCGCGACTAAGATTTGGTGATCACTCTTTTGCTGTTTAGAAGGGCAATCCCAAGAGCGCTGGTGCACTGTACGCCTATCCCTGAAAGTGGTTCATATGTTCTTCTCTAGTTTTATGTTCTTGTCCAACCTGAACGTACTGTTAAGTAAGTTTTTCTTGAGGCATTAACCAATCAAATAAGAATACCTATATACTAATTACTCATATCTCGCAAAA